TTTTGTCATGCCCATTAGCCCACCGTCCCCCTTTTTCCCTTTAAAAAATAACCGTCCACTTTCACAGCTCTCTCGCTCGGCCGCTCGGCCAGTTGGGCCACCGCTGCTCCCTTTCCCGTTCTGTGCTGGGGCCTTCGTGGTACCCCCCCTTCCCTCTGCGGCTGCTGGACGGCCGTTGGGGCTGGGCGGGGGGGGTGCTTGCAGCCTAGCGGCTCTTTTGCCCAGCGGATTGGCCGGTCGTGCCGCTGCTGTCATCCTGCTCCCCTTCCCGTTTCGGGCTGGGGCCTTTGTGATGCCCCCCTCCCCCTCATTTTTAGCCTCCGGCTCACACATTTTTGTCTCAGCTCGGGAAGGATGGCTCCAGAGCAAAACCAATTTCTGCAGTAGCCGAATTGCTTGCTCACAACTTTAACGGCAGTTGCTCACAAAGTAAAAGTTTTGTTCACAAGACTCCACACCTGGAAAGCACATTTCACCTGGGTGCGCGAGGGTGCAGTGAGGTGGCGGCAGGCCGAGTGGAGGGGCCGCGAGGCCATGGCCCCCCGGCCCTAGCCCCCGACAGCCACCCAGCAGCCACAAGGGGGAGGGGGTGCCGCAAAGGCCCAACAGGAAAGGGAGCGGCATGGTGGTGGTGGCCTGACCGTTCGATCCGTCTGGCAAAAGAGCGGCTAGGCTGCAAGCGCCCCCCCAACCAGCCCCAATCTGGAGCGTTTCTGATCTCTCCCCCACTTTGGAGACAGGGGTTCTGTGTTAGGTGCCTGTTTTGTCTCCTGCATCCACTCTCTGAACTCCTTCCTCATTTCCGCTTTCAGCCGGGATAGGAAATGTGCCCCCCCCCATCCATGTCCTGCTCTTCCAAAAGAGAATCCTGTGCAGAGAATGACAACCGGACTCTGTGCATCTCAGCCTCGCTCTCTGTGCTGCACAAGGTTTGGGGGCTGGCTAAGCTTGCTTTCGCACTCATTCTGAGTCCTCTCTTGTCCTCCACTCTGCGATTGTGGGCTGAGGGGGGAAGAGAGAAGGGAGGAGAGTGGTAGAGCAAGAGTGGGGGGGGGAGAGAGAGAGAGAACGAACGAACGAAGGAGAACACACAGGGGCATTGAGTGAGAGAAGCCATGTGTCCGCCTTCCCTGTTCCTCCCCTCTAGATATCTGCCTTCTCCTGCCCATTGTTGTGTAATAAGGATGTAAGGAGATTGAGCATGTGTCTAAAAAAGGGGGAGGGTTGGAGGGAGGATGCGAGGATAGGAGGGGTTTGGAGGGTGATGGGCGGGAAGGGGGAGGAGATAGATTGCACTCCGCTGTAATGCGAAAATGAAACCCCCGGAGCAGACCCAGGGCAGACTGGCTGGAAATGCTTTAAATGTGAAATTGACAAAAATGATCCGGGGGAGAAAACTCCAACGCAAATCCGAGGTAAGTGCCAAGTGAGAAATCGGCCTTACTGAAACTTAAATTTTGTCATAGGTGGCTGTTATGGAACTGTTATGTGCCTTCCAATCTGAGCTTATTAAAGTCTAGCCAGAGGGGAATGGCAGGGTGGGCTTCGATTAGAAGACAGTAAGTGCTAACCACTTGGAAGAAGGCAATTGCGGAACCCCTTTTGAAAATCCTGTTCTTGGACCTGAACAAGTTCAACAAGTGTCTCATACGGCAAATATCCCTTTCCTCCTGGGGAAGATGTTGGAGCAGGTGGTAGCTGATAAACAGCTTTTCTAGACCCGTTACAATCTGGTGTCAGGCCTGGTTTTAGAACCGAAACTGCTCTGGTTGCCTTTGCCAGGTGAGAGACAGGAAACATGGCTATGGTTGATTTCCTTGGATCCTTTACTTGCATTCAACTGTAGACTTCTAGGTGGGCTGGCTGAAGTGGGTCTCGGGGCTGCAGCATTCCAGTGGTTCTGATCCTACAAGTGCTTTTTCTGCTTGGGCAAAAGCCATAACATGGACTCCTGTGACCATTGTCAAAAGTTTAACAAGCTCACTAATTCAAAGCCAGTCCTTTGGGAACGGGCTCTTAGTGCTGCTATCCCACCACCTTCTCCAGCATGAACAACTCTTTAAAAGTTAACCTCATAATCTAAGACCACTGCTAAGTCCTCCGTCGAGCCTTTAGGAACCAGCACCTTGGATACTAACGTAGACTTTGGGACCATCGGCATCATTGTCAGGAAAGCAGAATGATGCCGCTTTGCACAAGTGATGGGCCAATGGCTGATGGAGCACACAGCACAGCCAATGGGAGAGCTGGAAAGAGCCAACGCATTAGGGCTTTTATATATATATCAGATGTCCATTACCTTCATTGGGTGTCCCTGAGTTCTAGAATTTTGTCTGAGGAAGATGTTCTCCCTATTCACTCTCACCACCCTGTGCCTAATTTTGTAAACCTCTATCATGTCCCCCTTCCACCGTCTTTTTCCGTAGCAAAGATGCTCCATCTCCCTAATCTTCTTGGTCACCCTCTTCTGTACTTTTTTCCAGCTCTGCAACATTCTTTTTGAGATATGGCGACTAGAACTGCACACAGTATTCCAAGCAAATTTGCACCATAGATCTGTACAATATTGGGTTGTTTTATGTGCAGTTCCTTTTGCCATATTTGCTCAGCTGCATACTGGGTTGGCATTTTCATTGAGTTATCCACTATGACTCCAAGATCCCTTTCAGTCTCAGCCAGTTCAGACCTTATGTATTTATGTATTTATTTATTTGAATTTTTACCCCACCCGCCCAGCCAGAGCCGGCTTCTCACCCTGTACCTATGGATGGTAGATGTATACCTTCCAGTGTGCATCACTTCATGCTTACCTACACTGAACTGCATTTGCTACAGTTGTCCAGTGGCCAAATTGAGAGAGATCCTCCTGGAGGCCTTGGTTTTCATCATACTGAATAATTTTTTATCATCCACAAACTTGGGCACTGCACTGTTCACTCTAAATTCTAGACCATTTATGAACAGATTCAACAGCAGCAGTCCCAGTACCAATACTTGTGGGACCCCAGTACTCGCTTCCCTCCATTTATTCCTATCCTCTGCTTCCTGTCATTTAATCACTTTTTAATCCATAAAGGGACCTTTCTTTTTATCTCATGACTAATAAGCTTACTTAGGAGTTTTGGGGAAGGGACCTTTTAAAATGTTTTTTGGAAGTCCAAGTATATAATGTCCACCAGTTCAGTTTCTGAAAGAACTCCAAAAAGGGTGGTGAGGCAGGACTTCCTTTTGAAGAAGATATGCTGGTTTCCCCTTTTTTTTCTTATACAAAATAGAATAATTAAGCATGTATAGCAGTTTCTGCTAATTTACCTGGGACAGATGTTAGGCTAACTGGCCTGTAATTTCGTGGTTCCCCTGTGAATGCTCTTTTAAAAATCAGTGTACCATTTGCTACTCTTCAGTCTTCCACGATAGAGGCTGATTTTAGCGACAGGTTACACATGCTGGTTAGTAGAGCAACCATTTAATAGAAGCACTCAGCTATATGCTGTCCTGACCCACAGATGTACTGCTTTTAATTTTGTCCAGTACTCGTGGAGCTTCATCTGTTGTGTCTTCAGTTTGACACAGTTCTTCAGATTCTCTTCCCCAAACAACAGGGGAAAAGAGCAGGAATAAATGGACCATTTTTGCAGTTGGAGAGAAGTGAGCAATGAAGAGTCCCATAAGGGTCAATATTAGGAACGGGGAGGAGGGGGGTGCTTGATGGGAGATGCTTTCCTGATTGCTTGGAGGCAACATGGCTGCCACGTCTTCTTTGCCATTCCGTTCATCACTACGATGGTCAAGGTGGAGCGAGAAGGAACCGGAGGCATCCTAATTGCTCCTTTAGAGCTGAGAAAATGTTGCTAGCCCAGGGGCACCTGCCACTCCTCCCCAAGACCTATGACCTTTTTTCTCAGGGTTGTGGCAGGATGCTACACCTATTCCAGACATGACCATACTACAGCTGGTTTCATGGAGAATAACTCAGGATCACCCCTTCAGCTGCCCTTCCTGAACACAAGGAGGCCACCACCAGGCTCTCCTCGGACAGTACATGGACACACTTTGACCCATTCACTTCCTCTTAGGGTTGGGACTCTCTCACTTGTCTGCTCACATCTGCATGTGGATATTCATCTCCAGCATCTTCACCCTCAAGGAACTGGACAGTTTCCCCCCCCCCGAGGGTCCACCTGGCT